CTGATTCCCTTTGGAGAGAGGAGCCAGGATACCAGTAAAGTTTAATAATAATAATAATAATAATAATAATAATAATAATAATATATTAATTATAATACTGCTAATCATATATAATAATATATAATGAAAATACTGTTTTATTATTGTATATTTGTATATTTTAAGTTGTATTATAATGTTTTTAATTGTGTGTCTCCATATGGGGAGATAAAGCAGAATATAAATAAATAAATAGCTGAAAAACTAAAGATTTATATGGCTGTCAATGTTTTGTATTTCTAAATAAACACAAATGTTTGCGTTATTTTCCTATTCACATGTTTTGAATTTAGAATGTGAGCATTTAATAAATAATAATAATAATAACTTTATTTATAATCCACATTATCTCCCTGAGGGGACTCAGGGTGGTTTCCAACAAAGGATGGCAAACATTCAATGCCATAAAACAATACAAAATTATCAAATAGCACCATAAATAAAACATCTATAACAAATTATAACAACTTTTTTTTTAGTTTTTAGTTTTTGTTTTTTTGTCGTGTCAGGAGCGATTTGAGAAACTGCAAGTCGCTTCTGGTGTGAGAGAATTGGCCGTCTGCAAGGACGTTGCCCAGGGGCGCCAGGATGTTTTGATGTTTTACCATCCTTTGTGGGAGGCTTCTCTCATGTCCCCGCAATTGGGAGCCAGAGCTGACAGAGGGAGCTCATCCACGCTCTCCCCGGATTCAAGGGTTTAACCCACTGCGCCACCGGGGGCTCCATTATAACAACTACTCAGAAAGTTTAAATAATTAGATAAAACATATAAATCTATTATATAAATACCATCTTAATGCCTATAATTTTAGGCAAATTTTAAGAGTTTGTAAGGATTTATATGTCAAATTGTGTGGAATATATTATGTATGATTTATTCAAGTTGATTTTTGATTTGTTATATATTATTCTTGGCACTGAATATTTGCCACTGTGTTTTATTTTGTTGTAAGCCGCCCCAAGTCTCCTTGGGATGATTGGACGGGCTATTAATAAAGCATTATTATATACCTACAAAGTAATAAAACTAATCAGTTTAAAAACAATTTAAAATAGTTAAAATAACAATTGTTATATAATTTATCTGCTGCCAACAAGCCAGAGTAAGGTGCCATGTTCTAGTCAAGATTGTAAAACATAATATTCTAATCCTCCTCTCCATAAGCTAAAAATATGTTTTAAGCATTTTTTTAAAGGAGACAAGGGAAAAGGCCATTTTTACTTCTTTAGGGAGGGAGTTCCAGAGGCGGGGGGGATCACAGAGAAGGCCCCATCTCTCGTTCCCACCAACCACGCTTGAGACGTAGGTGTGACTGAGAGCAGGGCCTCCTCCGCAGACTGCAGTGGCTGGGTCGGTGTATATACGGAGATGGGGATAGTCAAATGTAATAGTGAAAAATATGTAATGTTTCAAATATGTAATAATATGTAATGTTTCAAATGAACCTAGATATGTTTAATTTTCCAGACAGACTTTTTCTTCGTTTTGTGTGATAATTATGAAAGGCAGAGTGATTTTTTTGTAAATCTCTGTACAGAGAGATCCACTCCCATGTTGCAGCAGCTCCACTGGCTGTCGGTCTGTTTCTGGGCTAAATACAAAGTGCTTGTCATTACCTTTAAAGCCCTAGATAGTTCAGGCCCAGGCTATTTGACAAATCACATCTTCTCCTACAAACCAACTCAGACACTGTGGTCAGTGGAGGAGGACCTACTCTCGGTCCCACTCTCGTCTCAATTACAGTTGAAGGGAGCGAGAGGGAGGGCCTTCTCCGTAATCAGCCCCCACCTCTGGAACTTCCTCCCTAAAGAAATAAAAACACTCCCCCTCCCTTCTCTCCTTTAAAAAACAATTAAAACCCATCTTTGCAGACTAGCATATGGAGAGGAGGAGAATAAGACGACAGTATTCAGCTAATAGGCCCTGACTGGAAATTGTTATGGCATGCAAGCTCTGTTGGCTCTGTCAGCCTTGTGAACATCACTGGCCACATTATTTTAAATATTGTAAATCAACTTTTGGTGTTTTTTACATATTGTGTTTATGTTTATTTCAGATATCATTTAATTGTTAGCTCATGTTATTATTTAATTCTAGGTTGTGTGTTCTAATTTGGTTTTAGATGTTGGTTTATTTTGGGACTTGGGATTCGGTTGTTTGTTCGTTCTATCTGTATCCACTGTTTTATCACGGCATTGAATGTTTGCCTTTGTATCTGCTGGAATCCACCGGGGAGATAAGTGGATAGAGTCGAATACAAATAAAGTTTTATTATCATTATTAAAAACGTCTTTAGATTTATTTCTGTTCTGTGTGAAGAAAAGCTCTGCATGGCTCAGGTCCTGCCTATTTATGTGACCACATCCCCGCCCCCTCATGAATCTGTTCAGGCCTTTTGATCAGCTGGGGAGGCCCTCCTCTCGATCCCACCTCCATCACAAACGAGGCTAGTAGGGACAAGGGAGAGGGCCTTTTCAGTAGTGGCTCCTTGACTCTGAAATGCCCTCCCCAGGGAGACTAGATAGATACCCACCCTCACGGCATTTTGGAGGGATTTGAAAGCCCGGTTATTTACACTTAGCAGTAAATAAAATAAAATTAAAAAGTAACTAAAGAAGATGCTCTTCTTTAGTTACTTTTCCTATTAGAGTGGGAGGAAAATAGTTTAAAATAAGACATGGGTTCAGACTCAGAGCGATAAGGTTGTCGTAGAGTTAATGCAGTTAACTGTGCTTTGGAATCATGGAAGCCATAGTTTTACAAGGTCTTTAGCCTTCTCTGCTAAATAATGACCGTATGTCAAGAAGTCCAACTTGACCATGGTGGTCCATGCCTTAGTTACCTCAAGATTGGACTACTGTAATGCACTCTACTTGGGGCTGCCCTTGAAAAGGCTAACTTTTATTGAGGGGTGTTAATGTTTACCATCTGTCTTTTTGAGTTGCCTGCAATAACTATATGAGACAAATGTTTTTAAATATATTTTTTAATTTGTTACTGTAAATGTGTTTTTATAGGTTATTGGTTTACATGTGCATATTGTTTTGTATAGTCTTTGATAAAATGTTGTAAGCCGCTTTGGGTCCCGTTTAGGAAGAAATGTACAATATAAATACAGATTTATTATTCTTATTTGAAGCACAACAAGATTAGTAAACAGCAAACAAGGTAAATATGCTGGCTGTTGTATTGAAGCACATGTTGGACACTTCCCAAATGTCTAGAACTGTGTGATGTATTAACGAATAATTTGTGCAGATCCCAGTAGGGTGGCCTTTTGCAGCAGACAGATGGAACGACTAGACAATGAGTCCAGACAATGTTTTTAACAAGGAAACACTATGAATTTATATTTTACTGATTTGTTTAGTTTTTATTATATGTTATGTTTTTAATTGTATTTATGACATTGTAAGCATTGAATTTTGACCTGTTAACCACCTTGAGTCACCTATGGGCTGAGAAAGGTAGTATAAAAATACAGTAAATAAATAAACAAATAATTTTATCAGTGCCGGCTGTGTTTAAGTGCGGGCCAAGATCTTTAGGCACTGCACCCAGTGTGCCAATCACCATTGGGACCACTTTGGCTGGCTTATGCCAGAGTCTTTGCAGTTCGGTCTTTAAATCCTCGTATCGTGTCAGCTTTTCTAGTTGTTTCTCTTCAATCCTGTTGACACCTGGGATTGCAACATTGACGATCCATACTTTGTTTTTTAACATGATTGTAAGGTCAGTAGTAAGATTTATTATTATTATTATTATTATTATTATTATTATTACAACAGACTTTCGGCAGTGATTAGTCAATCTCTATTATTTGGATTTACCTCGATTGGGGTAGCAAGCCCTTTTCAGCTCATAGGAATGACTATGTTTTAATCTAAAGTCTATAATTTTTATTAACTAGCTATCCCCTGCCATGCGTTGCTGTGGCCCTGTCTATGTATATGCGTTTTGTGTGTATATATTTTTGTGTATATGTGTATATATGAGTGTTTGCGTATATATGTGATTTTGCAAATGCAATGTAATGTTTTTTTTTTTGCTTTTGAAGTATCTTCTGCTGTGTTTTTCAGTGTTTTTATGAGTGACGGTCACTCGTTGGCCTGATAGGTGTATTGTGTCCAATTTTGGTGTCAATTTGTCCAGTGGTTTTTGAGTTATGTTAATCCCACAAACAAACATTGCATTTTTATTTATATTGATTTTGGGTTGTTGTGGGTTTTTTTCAGGCTATATGGCCATGGTCTAGAGCAGGAGTCCACAAACTTTTTAAACAGAGGGCCAGGTCACGGTCCCTCAAACTGTTGGAGGGCCGGATTATAATTTGAAAAAAACCATGAATGAATTCCTATGCACGCTGCACATATCTTATTTGTAGTGCAAAAAACACTTATACACAATACAATAATTATAATGAGGAACAATGTTAATAAATATAAACTTATTAGTATTTCAATGGGAAATGTGGACCTGTTTTTGGCCGATGAGATAGGATTGATGTTGTTGTGTGCTTTTAAGTAGTTTCAGACTTAGGTTGACCCTGAGTGAGGGCCGGGTAAATGACCTTGGAGGGCCGCATCCGTCCCCCGGGCCTTAGTTTGAGGACTCCTGGTCTAGAGGCATTCTCTCCTGACGTTTCGCCTGCATCTACGGCAAGCATCCTCAGAGGTAGTGAGGATTAATTTGGTTTACATGTGCCAACAGACCCCTCAACCCCTGAGGATGCCTGCTGTAGATGTGGGCATGGCCATACAAACCAGAAAACTCACAGAAACCCTAACACAACATTGTTTATTTACATTTAATGTTAATGCTTCAAAGAAGGCAGGCTGAATGGCTCTGCCCCCTACATATTTTCACTTCTCCAAATTGGGCCTCTTTGCAAACTGTTTGGACACCCCTGGGAGAAGCTCCCCTGTGAGCCCCCCACCCGGGAGGCCTTCCTCCTGCTCACCTGCCGCGAAGTGCAGCGGGGTGGACTTCCTCCCGGCCATGTCCTTGGCGTTGACGTTGGCGGCATCCACCAGGCGCCGGACCCGGGTCACGTCCCCATTCCGGCAGGCCTCGAGAAGCTCCCGGAAGGCCCCGCTGCCCACGGGCGGAGGGGGCGGCTGCAGGGGCGGCGGCGGAGGGGGAGGAGGCGCGGGCGGGTCGGGGCTCTCCGCGGCGGCCGGGCTGGAGGCCGCCGAAGACGACGACGACGAGGAGCCCGAGCTGCTGCTGCTGCTTGTGCTGCTGGTGGCGACGCTGCTGGCTCCGGAACCCGGAGGCGCAGGAGGCCCAGAGGCCTCTCCGACGCTCTCTGGGGAGAAAGGCCTCTCCGCCGGCCCTTCGCGGCCGCCGCTCGCAGTAGCCTCGCCCTCAGGGCCGGAGAGGCTAGGCCGCTGCGGCTGCTGAGGGGAGAGGCTGGGGCTCCTTGGCGGAGAGAGCGGCGGCGCCTGGGACTGGTGGTGATGCTGCTGCTGCTGCTGCTGAGAGCGACGCGACGACGATGCCGCCGCCATTTCCCAGCTCCTGGGAGCGCTCGGGTCCTGTCACTGCGGCAACGGGGACGGAGCGCCCGCCCTCGCTTCCGCTCCCCGCGACCAATCAGGGCCCGGCCCGGGGGAGGTGACGTCAGACGTCGCGTGGGTGACGCAAGGCAAGGAAGCCCTTCCACAGAGAAGGACTGCTTCCCGTTTGGCCTTTCCCAGGGCCCTGCTACACAGCCATCTAACCCGGAATATCAAGGGAGAACATCCACTATGTCTGCCTTGAACTGGATTATCTGAGTCCGCACGACCATATAATCCAATTCAATGTTAATTTCATACAACTGTGTGGAAGGGGCCCAAGGAAAGGAAGGGGCCTGGAAGGGAACTTCAGGAAGGAGCCACTCCAGCTGCCATTGTTATTATTATTATCACCACCACCATCATCATCTGCAAATTACATAGAGAACTTTAGGCCCTTCCACAAAGACATATAATTCAGAATATCAAGGCAGAAAATCCCATAATATCTGCTTTGAACTGGGTTATCTGAGTCCACACTGCCAGGCCCGTAGCCAGGATTTCGTTTGGGGGGGGGGGGGGGCTGAGTCTGAGTGAAAGAGGGTCTACCCTAGCAAACCTTTTGTATCGTTACCCCAATACCCCCATGCATATGGGATATATTGAGTATGGTGATCAGATCATGATATGAATAAACATAACAGTTTAAATAATGCACCAGTAAGGCCTTTTCACGAACCACCATGAGAATTTCGGGGGGGGGGGGGCTGAAGCCCCTCAAGCCCCCCCCCCCCCCCCCCCCCATGCCTGCACACTGCCATTTAATCCAGTTCAATGTGGATTTTCTATAGCTGTGTGGAATGGCCCTAAGGAACCAAGGGACCTGGAAGGGAATTTAAGTGAGGAGCCACTCCAGCTGTCATTATTATTATTATTATTATCACCACTATCCAATGACTTAAATCTAGAAATAGTTTTCTAAGATCTACAGAGACACTCGCTGGAACACCTCAGCAAGCAAGTCCAAAAGTGGCAGGCTCAAACCCAGAACCTCAACCAATGGCTGATACCAAATGAGAGACTCCCCCCTGGGCACACAGAGGACTGAGCGACTTGGAAGGCGCTGAACAGACTGCGCTCTGGCACCACGAGATGCAGAGCCAACCTTCAGAAATGGGGCTACAAAGTGGAATCCACGACATGCGAGTGTGGAGAAGAGCCAACCACTGACCACCTGCTGCAATGCAACCTGAGCCCTGCCACATGCACAATGGAGGACCTTCTTGCAGCAACACCAGAAGTACTCCAAGTGGTCAAAGGACATTTAATCAACTACCAAACTCACAAATTTTGTATTTTGTCTGTTTGTTTGTTTGTTTGTTTTGTTCTGTTAGAAATGTAATACAATTGACTGGTTGCCCTGACATGACAAATAAATAAATAAATCACCACCATCATCTGCAAATTACTTAGAGAACTTTAAGACCTCATCTACCCTGCCATATAAGTCTAAGGCTGGATCTACACTGCCATATAATCCAGATTTTGGATTATATGATTTTGAAGCTATTGTAGACAATTTCTAAAGTGTCACGTACAATTTGTTTAATTTAATTTTCAGAATCCCTTTTCAATCTCCCCTAATCAACATATTATTCATTTGAAAAGGTCAGAGGGAAAAACATTCCAGAAAAAGTCTAAGGCTGGATCTACACTGCCATAAACTCCGGATTTTCAAAGCAGATCATATTATCTGCTTTGTACTGGATTGTATGAGTCTACACTACCACATATTCCAGTTCAAAGCAGATAATCTGGATTTTATATGGCAGAGTAGAAGGCGCCTGAAACTGCATTATTATTATTATTATTATTATTATTATTATTATTATTATTATTTTACTGACACAGAAACACAGTATGTCACAGCAAACAAGATCTCTATGCTGGACTTCGTATCACAAAATCACAAGTCAAACACTTCCCAAGCGTCTAGGACTGTGTGATGTATTTTCGAATGATGCATGCAGATCCAAGTAAGGTGGCCTTTTGCAGTTGACAGATTGTGATTTTGTCAATGTTTATTGTTTCCAAATGCCGGCTGAGATTTTGGCACGGCACCCAGTGTGCCAATGACCACTGGGACCACCTGCATTGGTTTATGCCAGAGCCTTTGCAGTTCGATTTTGAGGTCCTGATAATGGCTGAGTTGTTCCTGTTGTTTTTCCTCAATGTGGCTGTCACCTGGAATGGCGACATCAATAATCCAAACTTTTTTCTTTTCCACAATTGTAATGTCTGATGTATTGTCTTCCAAAACTTTGTCAGTCTGGATTCGAAAGTCCCACAGTATTTTTGTGTGTTCATTTTCCACTACCTTTGCAGGTTTATGATCCTACCAATTCTTTACTGCTGGTAGGTGGTACTTTTGACATAAGTTCCAGTGAATCATTTGGGCCACAAAGTTGTGCCTTTGTTTGTAGTCCGTCTGCGTGATTTTCTTGCAACAGCTGAGGATATGGTCCATAGTTTCATCAGTTTCCTTGCACAGTCTGCATTTTGGGTCATCAGCTGATTTTTCAATCCTGACCTTAATTGCATTTGTTCTGATGGCTTGCTCCTGGGCTGCAAGAATCAGGCAGAATTATTATTATTATTATTATTATTATTATTATTATTATTATTGGGTTGCTGTGAGTTTTTCGGGTTGTATGGCCAGGTTCCAGAAGCATTCTCTCCTGATGTTTCACCCACATCTATGGCAGGCATCCTCAGAGATTGTGAAGTTTGTTGGAAACTTGTTTTCTGCTGTTCTGGAGTTGCTGTTCTTAGGACTCAGAACCATCAGTTCAAATGACAGGGAAAAAGATGCCACCTAAATATTAGGAAGAACATCTTGGTGGTAAGAGCTGTTCAAAAGTGAAACATGCTGCCTTGAAAAATGATGGATGCTCCTTCTTTGTTTTGTGGCTGGCAGTCCATCTGCCAGGGGGTGCTTTAATTGTGCTTTTCCTGCATGGCAGAAGGGGGTTAGAGCAGATGACCCTTACGGTCTTTTCCAACTCTAGGATTCTATACAAATTGTATCCCAGCATTAATTGCTGCATTGTCTGCTCATTCTTCTTTCAAGTCTTGGACTTTGTGTGTGTGTGTGTGTGTCAGGAGCGACTTGAAAAACTGCAAGTCGCTTCTGGTGTGAGACAATTGGCAAAGAGAAAATAAGAGAGGCAAGAACTGAGACACTTCTTCTTTCCCTCATAAAAGGACTGCTACCATATTGAGGGGAAGTGGGGAAATCGAGACTCTTTGCTACCAAACTGTGAGCGAGGTGCTTAAAACCTATCTGCAGTGCGAAGAGGTCTCGCTTTTTTGAATGTCAAATTGTGTAAGCCTGCTCTAGAAGCATATTGCACTTTTTCTTACATTTTGTGGGGTTTTTTCTTTGGGACCTTCCAGACAGATCCTGTATTCCAGGATATGATCCCAGGTTTTCTGTTTATCCCAATAATAATAATTATTATTATTATTTATTTATTTATTTATTTATTTATTTATTTATACCTCGCCACATTCTCCCCAAAGGGGACTCGGGACTGCTAACATGAGGCCAAGCCCAAAAATAATACAGCAAAGTTAAACACAAAATAACAGAAAAATTACATCACAACAAAATACATGAAGTAACAAAATAAAATAAACAGTGCAAAACAACATAATAAAAATCAAACACAAAGGGCAGGCCAAATGTGCTAGATAAAATGTTAAAACATTAAAACGTTATCCTAGATTATCTGGCAATGTGGATTCATGCAATCCAATTTAAAATAGAAAACCTGGGATCCGATCCTGGGATACAGGGCCTGTCTGAAAGGACCCCAAGTCACTAAGAACTTTATGTTGTTGAGGGCATCGAATTTTGCCGACTGTAAACCGCCTTGAGTCACCTTCGAGTTGAGAAAGGCGGTATATAAATATGGTAAATAAATAAATAAACTTTGAAGACTTTCTAGCCAATTCCAAAAGGGAAAGTGACACATATCTTTTTAATTCTAAAAAATCACATTGAACCTACTCAAAAGGAAAAAATAAGAATCTAAATAAAAATATTTAACACAGATTTGTGTTGTTTAGTACTTTGTTCTCCTTAAAGAAGTGATGCAAAAAGTAATGCTTCTTAGAGTAATGTTATGTCTTGCTTTCTTGCCAAACTTTTAATACAATTATCTTCAAATAATGGACTACCTGCAGATCTTTTCTATTGAACCATTCCTTCCAAATCTGTAAAGCATCAAATAACTGTCAGACCATCACAGTGACATTTTCAGTGAACCAACAAGGAGAAATGATCATGGACTTTTCCCTGCAGTAAAGAATTTCAAGAGTTTGATTTACAAGAGGAATTGCTTTCTTAACCCTCACTTAACTACAAAGTGTTTTCCTGTCAGTAAATAAGAATTTTGAAGCTGTTGTAGACAGTTCCTAAAGTGTCACATACAATTTGTTTAATTTTCAGAATTCCTTTTCAATCTGCCCTAATCAACATATAGACCATATTATTCATTTGAAAAGGTCAGAGGGAAAAAATATTCCAGAAAAAGTAATAAAATATTTGAGCTTTGAGAATATTTCTTATCTCACCTGAGTTTTTGTTATGCTTTGCTTTCTTGATCTTCTCAAACGATCAATGTAATTATCTGTGTCACCTATTTTGCACTGGACAAGCTCTTCCAAAGCTGCAACAACAACAAAAAGTCACCAAAGCATCAATTTTTAAAGTTATTTTATTTTATTTGATACAGCTCGACAATTAACAAACTTTTGCCATACAAGACTTATCTTAGTATACAGTATTCCAAAAGTAAATATTCCTTAAATGCCAATTTATACATTCCAATAACCCACACACACCCCATTCTAAAGCATCAAATAACACCTCTCAACAAAGGATTCCCCCAGGCAGGAAGCAGTCAGGCTTTGAAGCTGCAAGGGTATTCAATGCTAATCAAGCTGGCCAATTGCAACATTCACACTCGCCTCAAATAGACAATAGTTCTTTCCCCCACCATGGACAT